GTGTGTGTGTGTGTGTGTGTGTGCACGCGTGTCCGTCTGGGTATTTCAACTCCGCAACCATGCAGACTTCGACGCTGTGGGCTCTTCGGTTAACTTTCACCTCAGGACTACGGTAACAACCCTCATGCAAGTCTGCCCGCGCATAGGAACGCGTGAAAGTTTTGGCAAGAAAATCTCGAACTTGGGAGCCGGGAAAGTTAGGAGGCTGAAATTTCAGGGTGATGTTCCCGGCCCATGTACAACTTAAAGATTGCAAATCTAGCTCCTAGTTGTGCGTATTTGTTACGTACGGGCCTGTGGATGTTTCAGCCCCTGTCCAAGTACCACATTCTGAACTTCGAGGACCAGCATTTCACAAATTTTAGCTACCAGGATTTTAAGCAGTCATACTATAGCACAAAATATGCAAAAAAGTATGGTCGCATGAGCTCGTCTGGTGTGCATCGTCAGTGATTTTAGCAGAAATTTTGGAAGTCTTTATTAGATCTCCTCCCTCCAAAAAACAGTGAAATGTACTCGAAGCACACACATAAACAGGATCTCTACAATATGAGTTTTATACAACTGTTTCAACACGAAACATAAAAAGGGAAAAATGAAGATTCGGTTAAGTGCTGAAGTACTTTATTTGTCCGAGATCTTTTGTAGAATCAGCATCATCTTGATCGCTGTGTTTATTTCAGGTTCTGCGACAATTACAGTCAAGCTGTGAAGTGGGGTGACGCTGCGTTAGTACAAAAAATGGCAGCGCTGAAACTGGAGGCTCAGAAGCAATTGTTCAATGAATACCTTCTGCAGAAAGTTCAGCTGCAGAATGCATCGCTTGCCTACCCGGCCGAGTTCCATGTTAGTAACACAATTTAAGGATGCCTCCCTTGGAATGCGGGCTGTGTTTATTTTTATTCCAGTGTATATTTTTTCTTTCAGATACGCACATCGAAGACAAGTCAGCGAAACCGTGAGCTGTACAAAACAGCTCTATGCGATTTCTGGAGCGCGGGAGTGCCGTGCCGATTTGGCGAACGATGCTGGTCAGTACACCCACATCCTTTCCTACCCAAATCCCGTCAACCCAAGTTTCACTGCATACTGCGGAAACGTTCCGGAAGTGCACTGGCAAATTATAATGAGTACTTAGAAAACTCCGCTCCTCAACCAACTTAGTAAAGATAAAACACACCCGAAACACACACGTACATAAGCATACACGCACATACGTGCATACATACATACATACACACAGGACCTCAACAATATGAATTTTGCGCAACTTTTGCACCACAAAACGCATAAAAACAGATAAGTACTAATACAGCGCCACTTTTCAGTCCACCTGTTTCTTACGGGTGCAGATCTTCCTGGTAGACTATGTTAAAAAGCTGCTTGTATGGATTTCCTCACCCACCACTGGGACCAGACCAGAAGCATATTTAATTAGTTGCTTAAAGCAACGGCGATGTTTTGAAAAAAGCCGGTGATTTTAGGTTTGCACATGGTCCACACGAGCTTCGTATCGCACGTTTCGTATATCCCAGTGTTTATCCGTACGACTATGAAGTTCGCATGGACGGGCCACCGCCGAATCAAATGCACAGTATGGGTCAGTATACGCCTGCAGCTTACGCCCGCGTAAGTTCTGATTATTCCGAGTACTGGCTTTTGGCTGGCAAAAAAAAAAATTCCGAATTGGTCGCGCCGAAAACCCAAGTCACTCTGAGACAAAATCAGGTAAAGCGAGGTGAGCTGGGAAAAAGCAGTGCACGAAAATTTAAAAAGAACTGTTTTTAGCGTCTGTGGAATCTGGAACAATGCTATCCACCATCAAACGCAACCATGGCTCCTATAAAAACTGAAGTGGCAGGCCCGAATGTACCAGTTGGATATGAGCGCAAATTTTGTCGCCTATCACCAATCCCGGAAAGCATGGTTGGTTTTTCTTTTTTTATTAAAGTATAGCCTTAAAATTTGATAATCGACTTCTGATAATCACTGGGTTAGGACAGTACAGGCATATAATAAATGGCCAACGCACGGGCTGCCCGTGCGAAGATGCGCTTTTTGCAGAGTTCCCCGCAGGTT